AAGTTCTTAGACGGCCCTTGTTCTGCAATACATGGCTCACGGATACAGAGGGCAATCCTTGGCCGCTCCTTCCCAAGGATCGACGATGGCTATCATGGGTGGAGAAAGGAGTACGGCTTTCTTTGGGGTAACCCCTTCTATTTCTTCTTGCAGCTCCCCTTTTACGGTGCCTCTATCGTACAATGCTTGCCATGTTGGTTGCGGTTGAGCGCAAGCTGCCCACATCCCCATGTGCCATAACGAGTATTAACGACCCACTTGCACGCTACGAGGGAGGCAGAGTAAACGGAGAGGTATACTCGTGTTCGATTTTCAGCAGATCTTCAGCTTATATTTTGTCTATCCTCTGAAAGATGCCCATTCTTATGCATTTAGTAGTACTACAGGGGAGGGAGGAAGGAAAGAGGAGGGCGAGGAATTCAGAACAGAAGAAAAACAAATTTCATAGGGTTCCGAGTCCTCACCGCCAGAGCAGACTACTATAGATTGGGACTAGAGGCAGTCAGTGTTTGGGTTGCAGGGAAATTTGAGTTGAGGAGCAGGTGTTGTCTATGCATGCCCCGCCCAACGGTCCAACCGACACAGCAGGCTGAGGTGGAAAATAGACTCCCACATGAACCACCTAAAGTCCGCTGTACGGAAAGGTTATCGCCGCCAGGGCGAGCTGTTGCAGACCAGATCTTGCAACAGCGCAACACGCATACTTTGGGTCAGGCCCAATCGTCACCTGTCCATAGAGAGGGACTATTGGCTGCGGAAAACCAAAAAACCTGCTCAATGCCGCACTCTGATGGTCCACCTGAGATTGAGCTAGGATGTGACTGGCATGCTTTGCGTCGTGAGGATTAAGAAGGTATACCTACTAGAGCCCATGCAAGTCTTTGTTTTCATACTTATGATGACAGTCAACATTGTACTCATATATGACACCCTGCTGTTTGTAGACAGGGGCTGGATTGGCAATGCCTATACAATTGAAGTCGGTTTGCCTCCGTGTTGCTAGCATGTAAGTGCCACGTGGTTTGTGTCATATGTCTACGCCGTGCCATTTGATGCAGTTTCTGCAACTGCGAGAAGTTGATGCCGTGCTTCCACAGTCCACACCCAAAATGGCCATCGTTGCTTGGGACGTGGACAGGTGACAGTTTTCGCAGCAGAGGCTGGCAGTGACCATCTGTGTTTGGAGTAGAGATTGTGCCATGTACATGCTAATCGAACTGTATCTGTGTGGAGACACAATGGCACCGCACAGCTGCCGTCCTCTGGAGGGGGCCCTTGACTATACCCAGCAGAATCTGTCCGATCTACACAGGGACGGGACACTGCTTAGCCATGCTCAGGGGAGGGGGGAGGGTCAGCCGGATTATTCTCCAGAGGCTCTAGAGCGTGCTAGTGCACATCTACATACTATTCCGGATCAACTGGCCCTATCAAGCGGGATTCTGCCACTCGGTGATTTTACGAGGTAGTTCCCACTGCTTGGACATGCTCAGGGGAGGGGGAAGGGTCAGTGTGGCATATGTAGATCCCACACAGGCCCAGTAGTACCCGTTAGGTAGGTAGGAAGGGGTAGGGACTTGGCTTCGGTCTGGCACATTAAGTTTTGGTGCCAGAAGTAGGGCCTGTGTCGGTTCAGGCCAGAAAGAGGGCCGTTTTAGGCCCACACCAGGTTCGGCCGGGCCAGGCCCTGGTGCGAGTAACGGTTCAGGCCCTGGCCTCCTTTTTTCCCCAGGCCACACTTGGACCATCAGATTCGATCCAAGTGTCCGCCTGATTGATTTCCAGGCCATTCATTCTGGGCCTCGTGTTTAGGCCAATAGGACCCAGGAGAGGCCAGACCAGTAGTATTTACACTGGTCTGCCTCTCACTAGGCAGGTTAGTCTGAGCTACCATTCAGCATTATGCTGCGTTAGTCTTCAGCGCTGGGCACAGTAGTGGTAGGCCAGAGGTGCTGAGCGTCGAGGCTGCAGTGGAGACTGCTGCAGGAGAGAAGGGAAGCCAGACGCTGGGTCAAGACAACACCTTTGCGTGGTCAGTATCTGGTATCAGCAGAAAGAGATGATGGGACTCTTCTTCTCCTTCTTCTTCTTCTTCTTCTTCTTCTTCTTCTTCTTCTTCTCTCCTCCGGACCTCCTCCATCCTCCATTGCTCAGTATTCTACTTCCTTCTGGATACAAGAGAGAGAGAGAGAGAGAGAGAGAGAGAGAGAGAGAGAGAGA